ACTTCTGTAGAAAGACAAAAGGCCCAAAAAAGTTCGAGTTAATTGAATAATTTTACAAGAAACTTTGGATGATTTTCTCCTCTCAAATAATATGCACATGTGCGGGTCATTATGCACGCCCTCTCTGGTGTAACTAAATAGTCTATTAAGATGCACTAGCGCGCCATCTGTTATCAAAATACGAAACTATTATAGACGCGTATGATTCTTTTCAAGATAAATTAATTCAAAATTATTTATATATTTATAATTATATGTAATTCTGCTGTCCTAAAAGCTTATGTCCATAGTTCGTCTAAAATACCCATTCAAAGAGTCTAGCATCAGAATCACTATAAAAGGAAGTTCCGAAAATGCAATATAACAGCGGTATGGTAGATTAAACTGGCGAAACCGCTGGGAGGGTTCACCACTGATGAGCCAGGCCCTCCCATTAATTTTTCCATTGCAGTAAGGACAGTATAAATTGTTTTATTTTGAAAAGAATCATACGCGTCTATAATAGTTTCGTATTTAACTAGTCTATAAATAATCTTTCTTTATTCTTATAGCTTTGATAAACCAGTATAAAAGCGTCTCTCTGTTTGAAAACTTGCATTTTTCACAATATAAGAAATATATCTATTATTAATTCTTTATTATAAATTTCTATATCATTCAAAAATTTACCTAATAAAGATGATTAAATGTATTCAGTGAATAAGATCTAGTGAGATTATTAGAGTATTAATAATAATTAATAACTCTTTAATTCCCGCCTATATTGGCAATTTTAAAAGGTCATATCATCATATTGGAAGGAGCTATTAAGCTGAGGGTTTAATATTTGGTTAATGCCCCCACCACGTATTTACCTACGATTAAATTTAATGCCGTCTATCTCATTTAAATTCCAAATTGTATTCAGCGCAACATTGTTATTAGAATTTTATTATACGGCCATTAGGTTTGTGGAATAAATTAAATTTCATGGAGAGAGAGAATTTTATTTATCAAATATTTGATAGAGATATCGAGTTTGTTATTTACTATCACGTAGGAGTAATAGGCAGATCAAAGTAATGATAGAAAATAATTTTATTTAGCCAACTAAAGCCACAGCTACTTACTAACTATATAAATACATATTTGCATAATGTGCTAAGAAGTAATGAATGATTGAGTAAGTGAATAGATAGAAACATAATTTATTTATTACAATACATCTCTAACTCCACCTTTGCCGGTCCCAAGCCCGAATGAAAAAGGAGGAGGGGGAAGAGTAACAAGCTAAAAAACTAAGCACTAAAAAACCCGGGCTCAGGTGACCCGGCTGATAGTACCCTGTAAGGGCTCCTGATCCAGGGATACAGGATGAGCAGCGTTTGTACTCCATGTTAGGAGTGGCTACACATGGCGTCTGTTCCTCATGTCAGCGGCGGCCATTTCTTTTGGAGCTAAGTCGGTATGCTATTGAGTAGTGTTCCCAGTCTTAATGACAAAGGCAAACGCATTCTACTTCACCCAGTATGGAGATAAGAAAGAAGAAGAAGACAATACATCTTACCAATATTCTAAGCATAATTACTAACTTGTCCTTATTGTTTGTGGAAGAGCATTGATCGATGCAAATATTTAAATGTAATTCGACTGTTCTAGAAGCTTATGTCTATAGTTTTCTTAAGTACCCTTTATAAAATTCCATCCTTTAGTGTAGCATATAAAGGCGGAATGATCCAATACAGTATTAGAGCGCTAAAGAATCGGTCTGGTAGATTAAATTAACGAAACCGCTAGGAGGATTCACCACTAATGAGCGAAGAGCTCTCAATATATATATATATATTTCATTGCAGTAAGGACAGTAGAAGTTTGATATATTTGTTGTTGTTGTTGTCGTGTTTCCTCAGATGTCCCCATGCATTTCTATCACAGAAGTCGCAATGTACACTATCTTGGGTGTGTAAAGCTGCTGGTCTGGGTCCATTTCAATTTTCTGCAAGGCTGCGGCCATTGCTGGACATGATAATATGTGGGTAGGTGTTAGTTCCACACCAGGACAGTTGTTGCATATCCTATAGGTTCTTGTGCCATCTGAAGATATATTTATGAAAAGAAACATTCGCGTCTTAAATGTCTTTATTCGTTGTATATAGATGCGGCGTTATTGCTTTGTATTAACATATAAGTATAAATATATATATTTTTTGGGTGGGCGAATAATTATAGATTTTTATCAATAGAACATCCTTCTCAAATAATATATTATAGAACATATTGACCATCAGCATTAATGACTGTCTTCGAAATTTTTGAGACGACTTACGATGTCTGAATGGTCCACAGTAAATCTCCATCAAACATATTATTATCAAACTTTTGCTTTCTTCCAAGGCTGCCAAAAAATCCTTAAGTCAAAATATGATAGTTAGACTCTAACTCTTCATTTTTTATTTGTGAGGTTTATATTTCCTGATTTGAACTTGGATATTGCCGATTCTTCTTTTGTCAAAAAGTTTATTAAGATCGTGAATGAACTTTCCAAAATTTTTCGAAGTGGTAAAAAAATAACATGGCGAATATGCATTTGATTTTTGGTTCGTATTTTCATTAGCTGAAAAAAGCGGAATTATTTTCTTTTGAAGATTAAGTGAGACGCCAATCTATAGAGAAAAAAAAGTTGCGGGGAAAAATTATACACCTACGCACAAAAGATAAGTGGTTTTAATCCATTTAATAAGCTGCAATTTTCGATGACATTTTTGAGTAAATAAATATTTCCATTGTGCATTTAATTCTCTATATTATTTAGTTAGTGTTCATTTAATGAATTGACCATGTACTGTATTTTTATATTGTAATGGTGCGTGGGAAGATGGTATTAATGTATAAAAAAGACAATTATTCCTTTTAATTAATGTATAAATTCAATGGATATCTATCGTTAAAATTTGTAACATATAAATTTACTGTCAATGTGTTTCTTTTAAATAATATCATCAAATATTATCTTTACAGACCTTACTGTAATGATATGAGTTATTGAATGAGAGGGCTTGGCTCATCAGTAGTGAACCCTCTCAGCGGGTAATAGTAGAGCGGTCTAGAGATTAATTTGGCGAAACCGCTAAGAGGGTTCACTACTGATGAGCCAAGCCCTCTCATTCAAATACTTATATCATTACAGTAAGGTCTGTAAAGATAATATTTGATGATATTATTTAAAAGAAACACATTGACAGTAAATTTATATGTTACAAATTTTAATTAATTTATACAATTGTACTTAGAGATGCATTTCTTTTAATTTCTCTGCGTGCCTCGATTCGGATCAAGGAATAAGCCATAACACCAACTTTGACAAATTCAGATAAAATATAACAAGCTGTATACAATTCTTTTCAAGCTATGACCCTTATAAGTACATTTTTCATCTTGTAAAAATTAAAAAAAGGCAAAAAATAAAATAAAAAGGAATAAAAGTTTTAAAAAGACGAATAATTTTATTAAGAAAGCCTCATATGGCTCTCAAAACTTTTTTAAAATTTTAAGCAACAATTCATATATATAACTATAATACAATTTTCTTAAAGAATTCCTTTTACAATCGGAACAGAAAGCACAACAAAAATAACCCAATTATATTAAAAAAGCGTACCTGTATCTACGAAAGAAAAAATAAATTCTTTCAAAATATCGCGAGGGATTGCTTCCTTTTCATCAATATTTTGCACAGAAAACTTACAAGTAAAAGTAAAAGTAACAAATTCTTGAATTACTTTCAAGTTTTCTGTGTAATAAATTAATAAACAGGAATAAATCCTTCGAAATTGAAAAAAAAAAGGTTTTTTTTCTTTTACAGATCCAAGACGCCTTTTTATATAATTCTATTCAATAGATCGCGCCTTTTAACTAAAAATCATAACTCAATTACAATGGTCAACAACATTTTTACCCAAGAGAACCTGATGGTGTTTCTAGTGTAACTTTTCATGCTGACCTCAAAAATCTAATCAGAAATTTTCCATCACCCATGGGTTTTGCGTGACAGCCTTTTTTTTTTTGTATTGGGATAAATACAGCAAAAAATGCAAAAAAATATTACGTAGGCATTTTTGCATAAACCTTATTGCATTACACTGGTTTATCAAAAATTATTTTTCATTGTCCCAAAAGAAACAGCATCTTATCTAAATTTAACTCTATGCTGATTCCAAATATACCATTAGTTTTTTTTTTTTCTATCACGCAAGATTTTAGAGATACACCTACTTGAAATTTGGAAATGTTTTTAATATATAGGCCTATATGAACGAAATATATTTATTTTATTGAAAAGCATAGTGACAGTGGATTTTCTTCTATACTTTGCTTGTGATACATCCCTCTTGAGTGTCCAGCAGTAGTCAGCAAGCATACCGGGACTCCATTTTTCTAATTATCTATATTTCTTTTTACCCGAATGCCCTCTAGTCTCAGAAATTTGGTATAATAGGAATTTAGTCTTTTTTCAAAGTATATCTTTTCTCTCTCTCTCTCTCTCTCTGAGAAAAGAAAATAAAGAACTATGAGAGACATTGCAGAAGTAACAATTATATAGAGATCTATATTTTAAAGATATATAAATGTATGATATACTCAGATGTATACCCTTCTAACTTTTTTGAATGAAGTATGAAAGGGTGAAAATATGAAGAGTGATGGCGAACGGGAAAAATAAAAGTGTCCAGGGGCGGGAATCGAACCCACAACCTTCTGCTTACCGGGCAGGTGCCATGTCCACTAGGCTACCCTGGACGTATTTCTCCGTTCGTAAATAATACTTAAAGTAACTTATAATACATTATAAAGGACTGCGGCGTGTGATTATAAACAATACATAAAGTTACACCGCATAAGTTTATTTTTTTGTGAAAAATCAATATTTATTTTAAAGAGAAATATTTACTATTTCTAACTTTTTTGAATGAAGTATGAAAGGGTGAAAATATGAAGAGTGATAAGAACGGGAAAAATAAAAGTGTCCAGGGGCGGGAATCGAACCCACAACCTTCTGCTTACCGGGCAGGTGCCATGTCCACTAGGCTAACCTGGGCGTATTTCTCCGTTCGTAAATAATACTTAAAGTAACCTATAATACATTATAAAGGACTGCGGCGTGTGATTATAAACAATACATAAAGTTACACCGCATAAGTTTATTTTTTTGTGAAAAATCAATATTTATTTTAAAGAGAAATATTTACTATTTCTAACTTTTTTGAATGAAGTATGAAAGGGTGAAAATATGAAGAGTGATGGCGAACGGGAAAAATAAAAGTGTCCAGGGGCGGGAATCGAACCCACAACCTTCTGCTTACCGGGCAGGTGCCATGTCCACTAGGCTAACCTGGACGTATTTCTCCGTTCGTAAATAATACTTAAAGTAACCTATAATACATTATAAAGGACTGCGGCGTGTGATTATAAACAATACATAAAGTTACACCGCATAAGTTTATTTTTTTGTGAAAAATCAATATTTATTTTAAAGAGAAATATTTACTATTTCTAACTTTTTTTTAAATGAAGTATGAAAGGGTGAAAATATGAAGAGTGATGGCGAACGGGAAAAATAAAAGTGTCCAGGGGCGGGAATCGAACCCACAACCTTCTGCTTACCGGGCAGGTGCCATGTCCACTAGGCTACCCTGGACGTATTTCTCCGTTCGTAAATAACTTCGTAAAATACTTTAAGTATTATTTACGAACGGAGAAATACGTCCAGGGTAGCCTAGTGGACATGGCACCTGCCCGGTAAGCAGAAGGTTGTGGGTTCGATTCCCGCCCCTGGACACTTTTATTTTTCCCGTTCGCCATCACTCTTCATATTTTCACCCTTTCATACTTCATTCAAAAAAGTTAGAAATAGTAAATATTTCTCTTTAAAATAAATATTGATTTTTCACAAAAAAATAAACTTATGCGGTGTAACTTTATGTATTGTTTATAATCACACGCAGCAGTCCTTTATAATGTATTATAAGTTACTTTAAGTATTATTTACGAACGGAGAAATACGTCCAGGGTAGCCTAGTGGACATGGCACCTGCCCGGTAAGCAGAAGGTTGTGGGTTCGATTCCCGCCCCTGGACACTTTTATTTTTCCCGTTCGCCATCACTCTTCATATTTTCACCCTATCATACTTCATTCAAAAAAGTTAGAAATAGTAAATATTTCTCTTTAAAATAAATATTGATTTTTCACAAAAAAAAAAAAAACTTATGCGGTGTAACTTTATGTATTGTTTATAATCACACGCCGCAGTCCTTTATAATGTATTATAAGTTACTTTAAGTATTATTTACGAACGGAGAAATACGTCCAGGGTAGCCTAGTGGACATGGCACCTGCCCGGTAAGCAGAAGGTTGTGGGTTCGATTCCCGCCCCTGGACACTTTTATTTTTCCCGTTCTTATCACTCTTCATATTTTCACCCTTTCATACTTCATTCAAAAAAGTTAGAAATAGTAAATATTTCTCTTCAAAATAAATATTGATTTTTCACAAAAAAATAAACTTATGCGGTGTAACTTTATGTATTGTTTATAATCACACGCCGCAGTCCTTTATAATGTATTATAAGTTACTTTAAGTATTATTTACGAACGGAGAAATACGTCCAGGGTAGCCTAGTGGACGTGGCACCTGCCCGGTAAGCAGAAGGTTGTGGGTTCGATTCCCGCCCCTGGAAACACTTTTATTTTTCCCGTTCGCCATCACTCTTCATATTTTCACCCTTTCAAACTTCATTCAAAAAAGTTAGAAATAGTAAATATTTCTCTTTAAAATAAATATTGATTTTTCACAAAAAAATAAACTTATGCGGTGTAACTTTATGTATTGTTTATAATCACACGCCGCAGTCCTTTATAATGTATACCCTTCTGCATATCTATAAAGCTTATGTCCATAGGTTCCTTAACTATCCTTAAGTTCCCTTTCATATTAAATGCAGGGTATATAAGAAAACCAATCCAATACAATAGTAGAGCGGTCTGGAGATTAATTTAGCGAAGCCTCTGAGAGAATTCATCAATGATGAGCCAAACCCTCACATCTAATCATTTTTATCATTGCAGTAAGGTCTGTAGAGATGATATCTTATGATAAATTTCATAAGAAAAACAAATTGCCAATAATTAATAGTTACAAATATATAAGTGTAGTAGCAAGTTCATTAATAAGGATAATAATGAAAAAAGGCGTATCTGGATCTGTATGGAATTGACGGATTCTTCCATTTTTTGGCAGTTCATTCAAACTATAGGAAGGAATTAATGAAAATTATTAGATTTAGTTATGGATTACCCTTTAACTCAAAGAATCATATGAATATGGATTTATATAAAGCAGCATAAGTTAATTTTTAAAAGTAAATTATATAGGGGGTAGATACAAATTACACCGACAAACTTGAATAATAGTTTCGACACCTATAAAAACTATAGAAAAATGTTCTATAGGATGATTTTATTCAAATTGAATCAGTTTCGAGTTAAACCTCCCTCTCTCTATTATATTATGAAAATATAAATTTATAAATTCAAAGTTACTATGGAGATGGCGCTCAATTTATTTCTATATGCTATTTAAAATAATCCTTAAAACCAATTTCAAAATATGACATTTTCTAAAATTTTAAGACCTTCTCTGTCTTTTTTTGAGAACACTATTTTTATTATTATTATAAATTTGAGTAATCCGGACTCCTGTGGCATATGATAAATCAAAATATTACAATTATTATCAACAATATCCAGACATTGCAGATTTTATTTAACCTAAATATAAATATTCAGCTTTAAATTTTTGAACATATATGTCCTTTTTAATAAATACAATACTCGATGCAAATATTTAAATGTAATTCTACTGTCCTAAAAGCATATGTCTATAGTTTGCTTGAATACCATTTTTTCAAGATTCTACCCTTCAGTGTAGCGTATAAAAGAAGAATGATCCAATAAAGTATTAGAGCTCTAAAGAAGCAGTCTTTTCATCGCAGTGAGAACAGTTGAAGTACGATTTATATGTAAAAAGAAACATTCGCGTCTTAATGTCTTCATTCATTATATGAAGACAATATTTCATACAACTTTAATGTCTATTCAAATTTAAAGTTTTTTTTAACGCTTAATGTTACTCTAATAGTTTTTTTCGATAGCTTATATTACAGTAAATATTCAAAAATGACTAAATATGCTCAGAAAAATTTTCTATTATTTTTATATGTGGAACTTATTCCTGAAGTATGTTCTCGGCTTATTTTGTACAGTAGAACCTTCCTATAAAGGATAACACCTAATCAAAGAGCCAAAGTGTCCTTTAGGGAGAGGTGTCCTCTTTCCGTAGACTTGCAAAAAGGTAAAAATGGGAATTTTACAAATGAAAACTGTCCTTTGTAGAGAGGTGTCCTCTAGCGTGAATGTTCTCTCATTGAGGTTCTACTGTATTCACCCTGTGTATAATCTATTGATTCATATACCATATAGAGATAATTTATTTTATACAACCTCACACAAAACCCTGAGAAATATAATAACAACAAAGAAATTGATTTTGTATTCAGACATAGAAATATATTACTTTAAAGTCAATGTGTACTAAATTGTGATAGCCTGAAATATATATGCTATTTGGCACATACACTCATGGATAAAACAAAAGGAAGATGTACCTTTTATAGCATGATATATCGGGATTCAGACAATAACTCTGAAAGATATTTGATACACAGTCACCTTTATTGAAGACACACGAGATAGCCAAGTATGAACAAAATTGCATCTGTCTCTTTAAAGAAAACAACAACAGACAATCGGCAACATCAAATAATTTACACTTCCTTAAATTTTGTTCAAAAGTGGGTATGCTTATATTTGGCATTATTCGCATAAATATTAATTTTCTAAGTTAGATATGCTAGTAAATAAATAAATAAAATATTTTGAAGTATTTTGTTGTAAAAATAGTGTATTGTCACGTTTGTGAATTTTGAAATTGATTTTTTTTTCGCCGAATTTTTGTATATTAAATTAAAAAGTCATTTTTTTATCATCGTTACATGCAATTTATTTAAAAAAAAAAAACAATAATAAACAACAACAAAAACAGTGTAATTTGCATCTTCCTTATTATAAAACAACAACAAACTTAACATTTTAAAAACATATTTCAACATTTAAAACAAAAACGTTACATTCAAATACATCTCCCAAGAATACATTGTTTATACGCCCACACTACAACTCGAGTTTTAGATAAATAAACAAAGTCTACAGTGTTACCAAACAAAAACATCTTTGGGAGAAAATATGGCTCTCACAGATAAACGATATATTTTATTTGGGAATAAAATATTTTATGAGAGAAAGAAGTAATATTTATTTAATAATAAATATTTTTATAATTCTAATATTTTTTAATTTTTACATGCGTATATAATTGATATTAATAATCGAAATATTAATTTTATTTTTATAATAAAATAGAGTGTTAAAAATAAATTAAGTGAACAAATGCTTTTTGAATAGAGAATTGAATATTTGTTAAAGCTGAAAAGACAAAAATTGACAACCATACGTAGAATAATCTGATTTACTAATCAACCAATTCCCAATTTACCAATTACAATCAATATTTACCTATTATAATAATTTTATTTATTAAACTTGGCAATGTGTAATTTTTTAAAACATTCTTGTAAGAGCTCGATCTGTTCTCGCCTATCAAAATTTATTCTTTTCCTATATAATATATTTTATTATAGTATCTGTGTTTGTGTGTGATTTTAACTTGTGTCTCCTATTGGTGATTTATTGTATCGTGTTTTTCTCCTGTAGAAGAACTTTCTGTAGAAAAGTCAGAAAGCTAGAGATTTGAATCAACAACAATAATAATAAAAAGAAACTTATCCCTAAAGCCTGATTATTTTACCTTAAATGTTATTCTTTTAAAATCTTGCACACATTGAATTACGTAAATCTGAAATAATGGCTTTCTATTATCGCTCATACCAAACTTTATGATGTAGGGCTATTGAGAGAATGGAAG